GGACTGACCTCATTCACGTAGCAAAAGATAGCGAAGCAGAATGCTAGAATGCTAATGACTAGCCCAATCAATGTTTGAACGCAGACCAAACATACATCAGATCCATCACCAAGTGTGAAGGAGCCTGGCGCTGTACACAGGAAGAAAGCGCCAGGTCCAGACATACACAGACGAAGAGGAGGGAATCAGACGAAAGGAGGGAGCGAGATGGGAATGTCGTCAACACCAAGTCTTTGTCATAAGTCCCAAATAATCCCTCGTTGCAATGTCTGAAGTCCAAAAGTCGAGCCTGGGTCCGATGTCACCAAGCTCTGTCTCTCTTCTCTCGTAGTCTGCAGATGCAGTGAAGTCAGATGATGAGAGGGGGAGAAGGAGATGGTGACTGAGAAGAGGAAGAAGAAGAACTCTCTCTCTCTGTTACGAGCCAGATACTAACCTGTGATGTTGGCGCTGTGCTGCAGGTACCTCAAAGACGAAGCTGGAGCAACGGCGCTGCAGGTGAGTACCCAAGGCCTCCGCCCAATCTCTCTCTCTCTCTAGTGCTATCCTAGCTATGGCGCCCAGCGCTGGAGACTACAGCTACTTACTGCGCCCAGCGCTGAAGACTAAAGCTAACGCTACTACTATTCCCTGCAGCGCTCCCTCCAGAGTGCTGCTCCCCAATCCTGAAGACTACAACTGCCTCCTGCCTGCTTGTGAAGTGCATGGGAAGTCCCTATGTATTTCCTTGGCCTGCCTCCTGACTGCCTGAAGGGCGAGCCAGGCCGAGGAGGCTGCTCTTGCCAATGCCGAAGTGTGCCAGGGGCTGGCGCTGCAGCAGCTGCTGAGGCTGGCATGGGGAACAGGCTAAGAATAGCCTGTTCCTGAAACCCTGGTTCGGTGCCTGAGTTTCAGGGCCGGTCGTTCTGATGAACGACCGAAAATGGCCCTTCGTTTCAGGCTAAAAAGGCTGTTGCAATTTTTAGCCTGAAACGACACAGGGACTGTAGGCCCCTGTTTTCAGGCTTTCGGGCTGAACAGTCACGGGGCCTGTAGGCCCTGGTTTTCAGGCTTTAAGCCTGAATTTCAGGCTTTTAGCCTGAGGGACGCAGGGCCTGGAAAATGGCCCTCGTGTGCAGGCGCAGCATGTAACAGTGTTTGTGTAGGGGAGGGAACGGAGGCCGGTAGGCCCACCCTCACCGATTTCAAATTGCGGCCCATCTGGGCCGTTGATCGTCGATCTTTGAGATCGACGGCCCAGACCAGTCCCGATTTGAAATTGGTGAAATCGGGCCTACCGGACCTGATTTTTTTTTTCCCGGACTGGACGGCCTTCTGTGGGGGCAAAAAGGCCCCCTGCACCCCGAACAGAAAAAATAAAATAAAAAATAAACCTATGCACTGGGGGCGCCCGGTGGCCAACCGGGCGGGACAACCGGCCAGGCGGCCCGGCCCCCCCCCCCGGGCGACGACCAGGCCGCGGGGCGGCCCGGGGACCAGCCTAGTTTTTTTTTGTAAAGAAGAAAAAGAAAGAAAAAAGAAATAATTTGCGCGCTGGCCTTATGGCTGAATGGCATTTACGTGCTTGCATTACGGCAGAAACCAACCGATCACGAGCTCCGATGGATGTGTGCTATAATGCAGGAGGTGTAGCCGTTGCCCAAAAGGTTGGTTATTCCCGCTTTTATCAACTTTTTTTTTTCCCCCTCAAGATCCACCTTTCCATTGCAACTTCAATCGAGGAGGCCGGGGTCCTCCACATCCCGGATTTTACCAACTTCGCACAGTCAGTCGCACCTAAAGAAAAGAAAAAGTAAAAAAAAAGCTGACCCGCTCGCATACAGAGTGTGGCTCCATGGAATTGAGACAATTCATGTAGCAATATGACGGGCCTCGCTCCACTGCACAAGCTTGTTAATGTATCCGGAGCTGATAATGGTCCGATTCAGTTCAAATGTTGCATCCATCCCAATGCATGTGCTCGAAATCCTATCCAGATGCAGGTGGGTGTGTAGACATCTGTTTCTTGTGGTGGAAGAGATGATGGAAGAGCTGGGATGCCTGGGCCTCACCTCGCCCACTTGCCAAACGCCAACATTTTGTATGCATCGGAACCTTGTAATTGTCGGGATGCATTCAAAATAAAGGAGTTTGGGGAGTGGTGCGGCCAGGCCCATCAGCTCATACACCGCTGGTGACTCGGCTCAAAGTGCCCGTGATACACAGGTGTGTTTTGGAGCAAATTGGCAAGTATGAATTATTGTGAAACGCAGGGTGCCAGGGATGAAATTCTGGCATGTAGTCTTGTTGGGACAGGAAGCGTATTGTGGGGATGCGCCTGTGACCGGGCCGGGGTTTCAAAAACGTGGGGCCTTGCTCCGCTACCCTCGAAATGTGGACAACAAGAGTGAGGGTCTCGCTCCACTACTATCTGCTGTACGAAATTTCGTATAGCGGCCGTATAGCTGTCAGAGCAAAAAAAAACGTATAAAACCTAGTGTCGCTCCACTTACTATCCGTTATACGAGTCTCCAATTTTGGAGTTCACTACAAAACACTCTCACAGCACTACAAGACATCAATTTGTCGGCCCAGACTCCAGGCTCTCCATACGATTTTGCGATGCTACGCCGACCTCCTTCGACCACCCTCCGAGTAACGACTTCTGCAGGCGGCGAACTATACGGGATCGTATGGTGAATCCGGAGGGCGCCATCTGACATCCATACAGTGATTTCCGAAGGTGGATTTCGGATAGTAAGTGGAGCGGTGACTTACTATCTGAAATCGTACAGCAGATAGTAGTGGAGCGAGACCCTGAATCTTCCGCTAGAACATGGAAAGCTACACCGCCATTACTTTTGTCTTTTGTGCACGTCAAGACTAGTGGAGCGACGCCCTTGTTTCTGTATGTGTACATTATTATATTTTTGGGGGGAGGAAGAAATCCCGAAAATAAAAATGGAGAAAACTAGATATCATGTGGAAAACGATTGCTTAGTATTTCTACGATATTATTTTTATAAAGGCTTAATATTCTTGAAGGGTCATTGCAAAGGAATGTACATAACTGTGTATGGGTGAGTGTGCATGTTTGTAAAATTAACATAGCAATAAAAAATTAAAAATACTAATTATATGACGAAAATCTAGTCAAATACTAAGGGCCTCGTTCAACACCACTTGAACTCAAGCATTGAAGGAAAATTCTTCGTTCGACCCCACCCTAACCTGACCGCGGAGTTGTCTACTTTCCGAAACTCAAGTGCCGCTGGGGCAAGGTACCACTCCGGGGAGCCTTGAGTTCAAGTGCCAGCGGATACCACCAGCACTCCAAGTGGGCCTTTTTTTTGTTTGTTTGTTTTTTTCAAAAGGCGATCCTGGTCCAGGATTGATCAAGCCGTGGAGTTCGGTTTCAAGTGCGGCTTTCAAGTGTTTTGTGAACATGGAACGAAGATTGCAGTAAGTTTTTTTTTATCACGATTTTTGGGTTAGGGCGCACTTGAGACTCTAGGGTTCTCTAGTGGTGTCGAATGAGGGCCTAAGTAGTCTATGGCAAAGTGAAATATAATAAACTACAAAGACACAATTATATCAAATAGAAAGAAATGAAGACAACTAGGTATGTCACCATATGTGTGTCTGATCAGAATGTTAAGATATAAAAAAAGTGATACAAAATTCAGAGAACAAAAATTATGCTAGAGGCCATTAAGTTTGTGTGTGTGTGTTATCGTGTTCGCTATACACCACTTATACACCACTTCCCCCAAAAAGCATGATTGTGTCAGATTCTTTCGGCGGACTTCCACCGAGTGTGTGTGTGTGTGTGTGTGTGTGTGTGTGTGTGTGTGTGTGTGTGCTGTATCGGCTAAACACACCTCCACAGAAGAGTTGAAACTGTGACAGACTGTTTCGTTGGACTTTCACAGATTCATCCAGTGATTGGACGTGCACGCACGCGCGTGTGTGTGTATGTTTGTGTGGTTCCAGGGAAATCCGTGAAGGGAATTGGAAATGTGCCCTAACACCGACCGTTCTGGAAGACCGCAGAGTGGAGATCACAGGCCCAGTTGAGCGGAAGATGATCATTAACGCGCTCAATTCGGGTGCACGGGTGTTCATGGTGAGTGCCCTCCTCATCAACTCCTCTTGCTACTATTTTTTTTTTTGTTTTCACTCCCTTGTTAGCATATTTGTCTACCTGAGTTAGCGAGTGCCCGATTTCTGCCCTTATGGGCTTGCCGCACTACTTGCCAATCACGAACATTTTGAATGAACTCGGAGCAATGTTGGCTCCAGATACGGTCAAAATGCCGTCGGGGTTTGGCGATAGGTGGGGCGAGCCCCTCAGACTAGTATCTTTATCACTACCACAGCATCTGCCACAGCTGCGGGGGACGTTCCTAACCCCACAGCTGAAGCCACTGCTAGTCCGCTACCCTCTTTCTCCAAACACAATGCATCCTGTTTGTGACTGTATACGAGACGGACCTACATTTCCGGTCCCATGCAGTCAAAATGAGGGTGCGTTGAGTTTGCGGGAGGCAGTGCGAGTGTTATCATTTGCTATATTGGTGATGTTGTTTTTTGCTATGTATCCGCATCAAGCAAGTGTGAGTCGTCAATTGATAGCGCTTACTTCTTTTATTTCGCTCCTATGACGCCCAGGTTGTTGTCGAGGTTGGATTGAGACTTTTGAAATCAAACTCGTCTTCCTGTCACTTTGTCATGCCTGCAAACAGCGGTACAGCAACTGGCGACATGCGCCCACACAGTACTCAAGATATCGTAACCAGATATGAGTTCTCTTCAACTGGCTATGGCGACTGGGCGCCCACACAACTCA